CTTCCTTCAACAACATAATCATATTTTAGATGACTAACTTAATTATTTAATAGTTGAATGAAAACTCTCATAATTCTGTTCTTCCAAAATTTGAATTGAGAGTATTTTAATTGAAACATTTTATTAATAATTGAAGTATTCAATTAGAACAAAATTTAGTTAATAATTCAAGCATCTAAATAAAATATCTTTAAGAAATTGACGCCTAAAAAATTTCTTATAGGAACACATCCCATGCATAGTGGCTATTACAATTCAATTAATCGAATAATTTATCTTTTTCAAGGAAAAAAAAAGGGGGGGTGGGGGGGGGGTGCAAGATCACATCTCATGCATGGAAATAGAAAGATCTTACTGAACTTGTTGGTTTCCAGCTAGCTAGGAGTGTGTATATATATTGACAAACTCAACATATTTTTTATTATTATTTTGGAACTTTTCTTACATATATATAGTTGGACCAAGTCTTTTTCATCAATTATTTGAATTAGCAAATAATTGGATATGTTCAAGTGTCAACCTTTTACCTGCTCAAACACATATTTTTTGTGAAAGAAATCGAAACACCTCGACGTTATTTGTAGTTTATATATGTGCATATTTTAAAATTTCAAACAAAGTAAAGAAATAGATGGCCATATTCACATGGGGTGTGACCCACATATTATTCAATTAGTAATTATTTGATTTAGATGATCCAGGATCGATTTCCTTAATATATTTTGAGTCGAGCATGTTATATAGGACTTGTCTAATGCGATGTATATCTTTTGTATTATTTATAGGTTATTATACCGTGAAAGTTTTACTCAGTGCGCACAAAATTTTCACGTACAGAGATTGTGGCAGTCCAGAGGTTGTGGGGTTTAAACCAAAAAAAATAAAAAACTCGTTGCTTTTTTTTCTTTTCTAATTTCATATTGACCCTTTTAAAAATCTCAAAATTTTGAAATGTTCTATTATTTTGTTAACTGCAAACATAAAAATTGTAAATATAACTTTGATTATATTATTAATTATTGACTTAATTGAATAATCAAACCGAAAAATCAAATACACACCTAGTTCGAACACACTATATGAAAAAGAAAACAATTAAAAACATTTTTTAATTAATTCGACGCTGCTTCGCAAATTAATCTCCTGGCCTTCACCACATTTACTTCTTTATTTACGCATTTGTGTGTGTAGATTAGCTTCTGTTTTGGTTATATTTTTATGTCATTCGAATGCATTAAGTATTTGTTTGTAAGAGATCAAGTTAGTTCATATATCCATTACTCATCTTCTGATTTTCTGTCTTAGAGGGTGTTTGGATTGGCTTAAAAGTTAGTCAAAGCTACTTTTAAGTCAGTTTTTATTTTTGGAAGTGTTTGGCAAATATAAAAAATAACTTAAAATAAGTTACAAACTGTTTGGCAAGATCAAAAATGACTTAAAATAAGTCATTTCAGTTTGACTTTTTATTTTTGACTTAAAAGTTACTTTTTTTAAGCCAATCCAAAGGGGCTCTTAGTTTTCCTTACATTTTTTAGTTATGAACTATTCTTTTGATAGTTAATTTATTGAATTCGTGAACTTTGTGACTTCAAACCCGTATAGGAGAAGGGCTAGTGGGGGAATTTGGGAAAGTCGAATTGATTGGATGTCTTCGTTCAAGCGACGATATAGAAGAAAAATAAAACAAAGTAAGAGGCCGGAGGGAGGGCAGGACTTGTTAGAATTTGTATGCTTATTCACCCTATACTTTAGACTCGTTTAATTAGAATAATAAATGAGCCGCATGTCTAACGTCTAGTATTATAGACTAATTGTAATTAATAAATAACTTTGCATGATTAATTTCTTAGATACTAATTAGATTAATTTAATACTTAGTACTATTTCATATTTTTCTTTGTTTAATACCACATAGTATAGAATCTGGCAATTGCAAGGACTTATATTTGTAAAGATGCCTAATATTTTTTTTAAGGTAATTTGAACTCTTACTCCATTTGTAATTGTATAGGTTAATTAATGGATTTTTAAGGTAATAGCCATTTTCCTTCAACCTTCAAGAATCCTTGAACTACATTTGTATAATCGATTATAGCGGAAGCAATTGAGGTAATACGTCTGACGACCTCCATTCAATAATAGTTGTTTACCATACTATTTTAGGATGTACAACAATACTTATCCATTTTATATAATCAATGGATAATTTTATACTTAGTTTCTAATTTACTCTTATCATTAATTATAGTCATTTCCCTATGAAGTTTTTCAAGACATTATATTTATTATATTCAAAAGATAATATAGTAAAATTATCCTTCTATTTATAGTTTCTTAAGAAGTGTACAAAGTCATTAGTGGACAAGTAGGAGAGTATTAGACACCAAAATGAGAAATTCAACCTTTCTTCAACGCTAATGTAAGTTACACCATCTAATATTTTCTTGTAAATATTTATATTAGTATTTTTATATTAAAATTTAAATTATAAAAAAATATTTTTTTAAAAGTGGACTAGTCCAGTGAGAACTTCAGCCCATGTAAGGTTGAATTGGAAGGAAAAAATTACATAAATACACAACTTAAGATATCACAATCTTCAAAATTTCTTATCATTTAAAAAAATTGAAAAAATCTCCTCTCCGATACATTTTTATCCCCTCTTAAATGACTCCCTCCCATTAAGTAATGTATCATTTGTATTGTATTAAATAACTAAGAAATATATCCGAGAGCAATGAAAAATCTTGGACTTTTATAATTGAGAAACTTTCAAAATAGAATATAATTAATCCCAAATGTACCAACATGGGTTGTGCTGCACTGGGGGAGTGTTTCACCCTGAACTAGAGGTCTCGGGTTCGAGCCCTGGAGAAAATCAGAGCGCCAACCCCGAATGGGCCCTGAAGTTCGCGGTCCAAATTTAGTTAGAGCTCCAATGTGGGCTCCGGACACTGGGCGAGAAACCAAAAAAAGGGAAAATTGTATAAAATAGCAAACTATTAATTCAAAGTAAATGTTATAACCACAGTTGTTAGGATATCTACTAATCCTAGATAAGGATGGACAGATTTTAAATATTTGTATATAGTTATTGTAGATAGAGTTAAGTACTCTTTTAATTCTATTAGGACTCTAAGTCCTTCTCCTATGTTAGTATTTAAATATTGGATGTATCATTGATAATTATCAATTCAATCAAAACTCTTTCAACAGTTTCATTCAATTCTGATTCGTAGCAAACACTTTGTCATTCGTCTCTCTCCTCCCTGAATAAATGTTTGTGTTTGTATAAAGTTAAAGAGAACTCTCTTCGTCCTATACACTTATAATTACACAAATACAAATTTTCCCATGGTCAGTTCTTTTTTGCCTTTCTCGATTTATACCAACACAAATTATACATTGTACTTTTGCCTTTCTATTTTTCTCGCTCTATACAAACACAAATTATACAAAATACAATGTATAATTTGTATTTGTATAAAGCGAGAGGGAGATTTGATATACAAATACAATTGTTTTAACGCGATTAAATTGTATACGAATTCAAATTTTATGCAGATATACAAACATAAATAACATATACATATACAAACGCAATTTTCATAGACACAGACACCCGATTTATACAAATCACCGTAATTTATACAAATCAGATGCATGCCATTTTATACAATCAGATGTTGTCTGCAATTTTATACAAATCTGGTGCTCTGAAGCGCAAATAGTAAAACTGTAGCTATAGAACGCTAATATGATTGTTATGTTTGCTAAACCTAAAATTTACTCAAAAAAACCCCTAAATATATGAAATTTCCGTACTTTATACATATTTTAAAGCCATTCAAAATAAAAGACTGGCCAACCAAATTCCAAAGGATGCTATGAGGTAGCCTGTATCTAGGCAAATAATAGAGTGCATATTAATTTATTTAGGGAAAAGGGTCAAATATGCCCCTAAACTATTCGAAAAAGTGTAGTTATACCCCTCGTTTAAAGTTTGGCTCACTTGTGCCCTCGCCGTCGAACTTTTCGTCTAGATATGCCCTTATGGGCGTTAAACGCCAAATGGAATTGCCACGTCATTTTTACATTACCACGTGGCATTGGAAAAGGGTCAAATATATCCCTAAATTATTCGAAAAGGTCTAGATATACCTCCTCCCCCCCCCATTTTAAATAAACTACCCAACCCGTTTTCAACAATTTTTTTTTAATTTTTATTTTTTTGGGTAAATCCCGAAAATGAGTAATTGACTAATAAAAAAATAGGAAAATTATGGAAAAAAAATATAAAATTAACGCCAAAAATTCGCAAATAAATATAGTAACCTTAAATTCAACAATTTTTTAAATTTTTATT